TGTGTATCTTTTCTGGGAATGCAGACTGTTGAAACATACTGGATCTGAGGCTTTTTCTCACTGGATGCCTGATTTTCCTGAATAGCTAGTGGAGTTCTGCTTCTGGTAGTGTATTTGTTCTTTTCCCTTCCCCACAGAGGACATCCCTTGCTGTAAGGGTTTGCTGACTCTGCTCTTCAATCTCCATGCTCTGTACAAGAGCCCTGTCAGTCTGCTGCGTGAACTTGCACAAGATATCCATGCTTGCCTGGGAGACATAGATCAGGTATGATGCAGAGTCCATGACAACCTAACTCTTCATCGTGTAGTCCTGTCAGGGCAGAATTGAGTACATCTCTCTACAGTAACTCTGGAGCAAACCACTTGAGAGCAGCTAAAGTTTTGCTCACCAGAGTTTCTGTCTTCCCTCCCCCTACCAGGACATAGAAGTGGAGAGTCGGTCGCATTTTGCCATAGTGAATGCCAAGACTGCAGCCCCTACTGTCTGTGTGAGTCAAAATAGTGTATATGAAACAGCCTTTACTGCCCAGCTAGTTGTCCAGGGCTGCTGTGGTACATGTTGGTTGTAGATTCCTGGTGTGCCAAACTCTTCCAAGAACCTGTTTTGTTATTGTCTCTGTCTTAGCTGCTGGTTCTAGGTCAGGCAGAGAAGGTCCTTGAAGAGGTGGATTGGCTTATCAAGAAACTTAACAGTTTGGGATCAGACACATCAGGTAATAATAGTGGCCCACTGCTTTCTGCTACACCTTTGTAAAAGATAGATGAGGCTAAAGAGCAAGAAGCTATTTCAGGATTTTGAAGTAACATCACCTCAGGGCAGCTTAAGCTATCCTTTTGAGCTGCTTCCACATGAACAGTGTCTTGTCACAAAAACTCTCCAGTGCTTCGTGTTCCTTGTGCCACGCTGGTGCTCTGCGTACCTAACACAAAGGGGTTCTTCTCTATCTCGCACCTGCATAATTGGGTTCATTATGTGTACCTGGTGTATGTATGTCTCTCTCTTCTAGAAGACTCTTCTCAGATATCAAACCAAACCCAGGCTCTGGAGAAGGGTGTAATTCTGCAGCTGGGAACTCTGCTGACGGCTTATCATGAGCTGGTACAGACAGCGCTCCCCGCGGGGAGTTGTGTGGACATGCTGCTGAGAAGCCTCAGCAAGACATATGCCATTCTCACCTCCCTCATCAAACATGTGAGTGCTGTTTTGCTGACAGTGAACTGGCTGGGACCTAAAAGCCTTTTTCCCCCATCTGTTACAGCAAGCTTACAGTGACCCCTGGCAGCAGCTACTGCCAGGATTGGGCTGTTGATCTCTTGCATAAACTAAATCCTTATCCTCTTGGCTTTCATGCACTTAATTTCATGACCTTTCTGCAGCAGTGATAGTTGGGCCAGTGGAGATAAAGTAAAGCTTCTCTCCAGCTAACTTTGGCTGTGCTTGGTTTGGAGCAGCTCCTTCTGACTGAGGTATCTTGCAGGTTCCTCAGTACACAGCCGTGCGCCACAGTGAGTGGCACTAGCAGTGTTCACGCAGCGCTCAGCAGTCCTGTCTCTGCCAGTCATTGCCATGGTTTTTCTTGCAGTATATCCAAGCTTGCCGCAGCACCTCAAACACGATTCCAGGAAGGCTAGAAAAGCTGGTGAGTACAACAAATTGTTGGGGGAAGAAGCTCATTGCCATGTGTTGGGAGTAACACCAGCCTCTCTGCTTCTTTTCAGGTGAAGCTCTCCGGTTCTCATTTGACCCCACAATGTTACTCCTTCATTACTTATGTACAAGTAAGGCCTAAATTAACTGTGACAAAAATCATACTCAGTTGTGTATCAGATGCAATATATGGGCACCTTCTAGGGTTATGAGCCTTCTTGACAGGGGCTGACCTTCTTGTATTTCAAGCTTTACTGTGTCAAATCATTAGATAAGGCACCTCTTTTCAGTAGCACTGGGACCAGCCATATTGGCTTCTGCTTGAGCAGGGAACAAAGTATTTGGGGTGCTGGTTTTCAGCTGTTGTTTTCTGCTGTTCATGTGGATTTTTTGAATAAGTGTGATACCGCTTTTAACCAAAACGGCAAATAAAGGTCAGCGACACCACTGTCATTACAATTTAAAGTAACATGTGTGCCTAAGACAACAGCCTGAGATGGGATTTATCTGTTTGGACAGGAATTGGGTACTTAGGTGAGGACCAAAGGAACTGTAGACCAGACACATGGCATATTGGGAAAGGTATAGTGGTGTGCCTGGAAGAGAAAAGGCGAGGCAGCTCATACATGTATCTCTGAAGGCATAAAACATGAAGTCAGGTGTTCACGTGGAGTGTTTTTTAGGGGGTTGGAGTGTTTGGGTGTGTTTGTTTTGTTTTTTAATACTACCCCCAATCCGATTGTCCTTGTATCACCACCCTTCTGTCACCTAGCTGGTAATGCTGCATTAGCTGGCCAGAGCAAAGACTTCTATAGCCCTGCTTAGCTGGCTTACCTTCACAGCTTGCCTTCTAATACCTTATCTTTTGGCTTCCTTCTTCAGAACATTCACAGTGAGAGCTTAAGCTTTGCAGAAGAGAAGAAAAAGAAGAAGAAAGATGATGAAGCTGCTGCGATCTCCACAGTCATGGTGAGATTGACTAGCTGCCCATTGGAACATGGACTGTATGAGAGCTTGATATCACAGCACAGGGCTTGTGTTACCCAGTGGCTTGTTATAGCTCACCAATGACATTTTGTCACTTGGGCCTTTAAGTGAAAATCAATTTCTTTACCTGAATTGTAGAAACTTTATTTAATTTAAAAAAAAAAAAAAAGGAAAAAAAATTTTCACTAAATGCAACCGTAAAACTCACAGGGATTAAACAAAAAAAGTCTGGATCATTTATCTTGTCTAGTATTCTATCATTTGGGGTAAGCTACAAAATTACAGAAATAGGCCAATTTATTGGAAACAATTTTGCCTGCTATTTAAGCATTTCTTAATTGTATCAGTACACTTTAAACGTAAAATACTGAATTCCACTAAAATAAGGCAGTTGTGGCAGTTGAGAGTGACGGGGTGAGTTGGTTGGGAGGAACTGAGCAGGTTGGCAGGTTTCTGGCCATTTGCATCCTTCAGAAGTTTGTACTCCCAGCTGGCATTTCCTGTCTCTTATCAGCTGTTCAGGCATTCTTGTGATGTTAAGAGTTTAAAATTCACAAGCCTGATCTTTCTAGCTGTTTTGCAAATGGAAATGTTATGAAATGCTGCATATTCTTTTGCCGCTCCCCTATCAGCATGGGGAATGAACATCAGTGATGTGAAACTGGATGGAAATATGGTGAAACATAGCTGTGTGCTCACTGCTTGGAAAGCATATGCTTGAGAGGCCTTGGCAGAGCCAGAGCAGAGACAGCTTGCTCTGATTGCTTTCAGGCACATTAGGGCTGTGGACTGAAGGAAGAGTACCAAAAAAAATGCATGGGAGATCCTCACTACAGAAGCATTTTTGGGGAATTAGTCAAACACAGTAACAAACTAAGCTGGCATGATTTGCTGGGGCAGGACTGGTATGGAATAAGGCTACTGAAGATGCTTTTCTAAACTGGAGTGGGTGTGGAATTCATGTCATACTACAGCATCATTTTCTTAATGTGGATCTAAGCTGCTAGTATAAATATGGATGCAGTGTTAGCACCGTGGCTTCAGGATGTTCACTTCCAAAACTCACCTTTCCCCATCCTTTCTGCCTTTCAGGCTAAGGTGCTTCGGGAGACCAAGCCAATCCCAAACCTGATTTTTGCAATAGAACAATACGAGAAATTCCTTATTCATCTCTCCAAGAAATCAAAGGTACCCTCATCTGAACTCAGCAAAACAGTGATCCTGTGGCACGGCGGAAGGCTATTACACTTCCACTTTCCTAAAATATGCATTGCTGCTCAGATTAGGAAAGCATAAGGCACTAACCATTCTTTCAACTTTTGCCCCAGCTCTTAGCCCAACACTGCTCAGTTGCTGTTACAGTGGTATCAGCAGGTATAAACGGGAGTACTGTGCCTGTAACCTAACACTTTGATTTCTGGTTGAGCAGAAGCTAAAACTGCTAATGCCAACTTTCCTTACCCTCCAGTTTGTTTCAAGAGCAGGGGAGAAATGTACCACGATGAAGTGCTCTCACACGAGAGTGAGAGTAACTGGTGATCACGTTGCTCTTCTGAAAGCAAGTGGGCCACTGGCTTGCATGGGGGCAGGTGCTATTTCCACCTACCTCTTGTTGCAATCCCACATCATTAGCGTGAGGAACTTAGTGTAGTCCTCTGAACAGCGCTAGGACCAAGATGCTAATGCCGTACTATTCTATCCCTCCCACCTTGGTTGCTGCAGGTGAACTTGATGCAATATATGAAGCTAAGCACCTCCCGGGATTTCCGCATCAATGCCTCCATGCTGGAGAGCGCACTGCAGGAGCACAACACGGAGGATGCTGAGAATGAGCCAGACAATGACCAGGTCAGAACTCATTTCATTGCTCTTGCTGCTGGGTTCCCCCTCTCTAGGGGCCAGCTGTACTTAGAGTTCTTTAGGTGTATGTAAAACTGGGATAGTCCTTATTTTAATACGCAGACCATATGAACAAATGAACAGGTAGCTTGGCTGAGGATTCCTACTGTCCAGCCCACTGCCTCGAGTTTTAAGCTCATGTGTCAGTCTTCTGTATCTTGTTTTGGGGAAGAGAGACTGCTTTCAAGCCCCTATTGTTGTTTGCCTCGGACTGTTGCATCCTAAGCAAGCAGAGTGATCTGCCACCGTTCCCTTGGAGGACCTAACTCGCTGGCTAGCCCCAGAACTTTGCAGCATGATGGCTTAAGGGGCCTATACAAATTCAAGTGGTCCTGCATCTGATTTAAGTTTTGTAGAGAAACAGCTGGCAGGGCAAACTCGGCAAGGTGTGACTTTCCTTTAGTAGGTAGTGTTGGTGAAGGTAGCATAGTCTGTTCTGGATAAGAAGTAAACCATTTTTCTTACCGATTGTCCAGAATTTTATTGGTGCTTCTGTCCATACTTCCCTCAACATTTCAACAAGCCAAAGTCCAGCACTGTAAAAACGGTCCCTGTCTTGTACCATTCATAACCTGGGCTTTGAGTTCCAGCATGAATTAAGGAGTCCCTTAGCAGGGAATGTTTCAGGGGGTGAGGGGAGTCCCCTACTTCAGGCCACTTGTTAGGGAGGAAAGAGCTAAATCCTGTTCTACACAGTGGGTTCCTTGTCTTAGGTAAGCTCTCAGTGTAGTCACACAAAGACATTCACTTTCTGTACTGGTACTCTCTCTCTTCAGAGCAGCACAGCAGAGCAACCAGATGAGAACCAGGAACCCAAAAAGAAGAGACAACGGAAAAAATAAAGCTGTGGTTGCAGCCTCCTTCTCCCACAGTGCCTATTCTGTGGCAGAATCACCTCGGACTTGGAGAACTGTGTCCGTGAAGAGGGTTTGTTGTTTCTATTGACAAATACTTGTGACTTCTTCCTTCATGCCCAGGGGCATGCAAACAGGGCCTCTGGCCAGTGTCTCGGGTCTTACAGCTGCTGCCCTGAAAGGTGCCTGTGCCATTAGAATGTGCTGCTCTTGAAATATTCTTCCCCAGGAGCATTCCTTCTTTCCTTCTTCCAGTAAAAGGAAAACAGATCACCCACAGTCATCCTGCCAAAAGCTCTGCTTCTGAAAGGACAGCCAGGCACTGGCACGCTCTCTGGACAACAGTCGTTCTCACCCTCTAGCTTCATCATTTCTTCTCTAGGGAGCCTTTAGTTATTTCAATTAGCTGATATATATCCAGCGCTTCCCCTGTAAGACAATGGGACACTAAGTTCCTCACATTCTGCAGTACAGTTAGAGCCTGTAACGTAAGAGCAAGAGACTGACAGTAATTATTTCTTTAGTTCACAGCTTTTAGCACAAAAAGTTCTAAAGCTATTCAAACTACTGCTGTGTGGTGGTGTACATGCAGGAACCCACCCTGGCAGAAAGCTGGAAATATGAGTTATTCTACCTTGGAGTTGAAGCTGGCTGCTGTGTACAGCTCCTGAAAGGCAAAAAGGTGGCAGCTTCCTCTCATGAGCCAGTACTAGGGGCTGTGATGTTTTTTTGCTGACCTTGATGCAAGGCACTTGTCTAGTTTGCCTCATGCCTGGGGAGAAGAGGCACCCTTCTTGGCCACAAAACCCCAGTCCTTTTTCCAAAAGCACACTTTGCCTGAAAGACTCCTAATAAAGGTTGCAAAAGGCTAGAGTGTGTGTGATGTGTTCAAAGAGGGGGTGCACAAATCTGCAGGCAGGTTCTGTTCCTTATCTGGGAGAACATTGCTGCACATCAGGGAGAAGCTGTTTAAGGAATTCCCAGCTAAGAGTTAAACAGTTGTTTGCATCAGGGAAACAGGGTTATGGCAAGTGCAGAGAGGGCCTAGTGTAGGTTCTTGGATTGCTGGAGAAGAGCACTAGCATGCAAGCGTGCAGCACAGGCTGTTCTCTAAACACAGCTGTGCTGAGCTAAGGTGGGGGGGAAGCTGGGAGAGAGAAAAAGCACTGAAGGCTGGGAAAGCTTGGGGCTGGAAGGCAAAATGTATGAGGCTGCTGATTCATCTCACTTCAGAAGAGGAGAATTCAACCTTGGGCTGTGTGTGAAGTGAAACAGACAACGCTACCCATCTAAACGCTTAGACCAGCCAGGGCAGCTTAAGCTAAGACTAACGGCCAGCTCTGCCAGCAAAAACACTAGGTAGGGACAGGTGCTGAGAGCAGGATTCCCAAGGAAGGTGCGACCAGAGGAGTTCTTAGGAGGGCCATCTGCAGAGTGCAAGAAATGGCTCCGCTGCAGTCAGGGGTGCGACATGCCGGTGCAGGGTGATGTGGCTGCACAGCAGTGTCACAGAGGCAAGACAGTCTATGGGGCAGTCATGAGGGGCCGCTCCGATATGGAGAAGCCCTCTGCTCTGGGGACGGGCTGCTTACACCAAGTGCTCGCTGCTGTGAAGGGGAAGGCTTGTTCAGGGGCTCCAGCTATTACAGATGCTGCTCACCTTGAGGGATGCCGTATCTCTTCTCCATCCCAGTTGGATTTGATGGGGTGGCACAGTTCATGGTCACCTCTTTCCTTAAGCACTGGTCAACATCCACTGCACTAAAAAAAGCCACTGACTGTGGCAGATCCTGGAGGCCCAGTTTATAGGCAAACATGCACCTGGAAGAACAAGAGACCAGGTGAGCCAGCGCGCCACAGCATGCAGAGCTTTGCCACACCTGCTCTGGAGCAGGCTGGACACTGTGTCCCAGCTGAGAACAGAAAAAAAATTGTGTCACGTTATGTTCCAACAAGCAGGAACATCCTCAAAGGCAGCATCCCATTAGAAACAAGCCCAGAAGGAAAACCTTTCCTTAGAAGGAAAACTTGTTCCCAAGGCCTGTCCTTCACCGCAAGCAGCACTCGTTCTCTGCTGGGGAAAGAATGCCCAAGCCGCTTTTGAAAGGAGAAAACCAGCTACAGCTTAAAAGTGATAGTGAGCTTCAGAACGTCTCTTGCTCTCAGCTAGTCTTCCTTTTACTGCAAGTAGAGGGCTTCAATCAGCCACCAGTTTGCCTGGAATAAAGACAGCTTCACAAAATATTGGTCAGTCATCATTAAAGATTATTTTGCACCCTAGTCACTCAATGGCTAGAAAACAAAGTGCTTTATAAGTACTGGGTTGCAGGAGGGTCAAGTATTGCTAAAGTGGATGTGGGAAGAAGAGAGTAACGGTACATTCAGCCTCCTAGGAAGAAAGGAAGAACCAGCCCTTTACTTCTGGCTAATCCTCCCACGCAGAGCAGATGTTGGATTTTCCCAGCATGAAGCTCTGTGCTTGCAATAGCTGGCACAAAGACACAAACATCAGGCCGTCTTCCCCTGCTGTGCATGCCGCATGGGCACAGAAAGGCTGTTTGCTGTATCCTTACCTCCGTACAGGAGAAAATAGCCCTGCTTTGACCAACTCCTGTCTAACCAAAGAGCTGGGAAGGGGATTTCACAAAATTGACTGTGCTGGAGCCTGAACGAAACGAGCCCTGGGACTTTTGAGGCCAAGAGATTTCCAAGCTGATCTTAACCTCACACGCACAGGGCAGGAACTGCCCATGCTGCAGAGGAGGCAACGAGGCTGGTGCTTGCACCAGAAAAAAATGAGCCGTACCCCTTGCAGCTCAGCTGTCCTCTGAAGGCAGGGGGGGGGGGGCAGCCACTTTCAAACGCCCAGCTGCTCGTTCAGACCCAAGCACCACCACTGAACGGCCACAGATCTGAATGAAGTAGGAGGAGATGTGTTCACATCGAACGATTGGGCCCGTCCCAACAGAAGCCAAAAGCTGACGATATCCCACTCTTGCCGACAGATTATCCCTTGAAATCGAAGCCGAGCTCCGTTTATAGCTACTTGAGTCATGGGTAAAAGAAACTGCAATCTCTAGAGCTGCCAACCTGCCTGGAGCAGAAACAAATTGCTCTGCATCGATTCACTAAGAGCAAAACTAACCCGTTTGCTGCTACGCTAATCCCTCGGGCTTGCGCTGTCCCACCCCGAGGCCCCGGCGCTTGTCCCCACCAGGTATCGCTGCCAGGCTGTGGCTGGGCTGCTCAGAGATCTCACCGTGTGAGGAGATTGGTGATCTGCAGGGCCAGGGCTGCCCGGTAGCGATCCTGCGCCTGGACCAGGTAGCGCACCTCATCGTGAATGCTGATGCAGAAGCGCCCGTTTATGTCGAACTCCTCAAAGAGCCATTTCATGGATACCAGCATGAGGTGCAGGTAGTCGACGGCCGAGCTTTGCACCACCCAGTTCACTCTGCTGGTCAGAAACTGGTGGAAGAAAACACAGACAAACACTAGGAGAGCATCAGGATCCAAGGCGCACTCCCTACCCTAAGGGCAAGGTCCCAGCACATCCTGGTTTCTTATGCGTCTCCCAGGCCAAGCTGGTATTTGGGTCTCCAGCATCTGAGAAGGGTTGATTTTGGGGCTGCTGTGTCAGAGAAGACAGCAGCAGACAAGCAAAGCAAAGAGCTCCGCAGCACAAGCCCGTGTCTTTACCTCCCCCTTGGCCACGGCGGGCTCCAGCGCCCTGCTGATGTGACAGCCCAGCACCGGGGTCTGCGGAGAGGCGGACAAGGCGATGCTCTCCAGCTTGTTGAACATTTCAGATTCGGTCCCTCCAGCCCACACTCGCTGGTGCACCACATCCCACTTCTTCTTCGTTCGCGACCTGCCGGGAGCAGAGGGTAGGTTTCCCTGCTGGAAGGGTTCAACAAGGCCGCAGGCCCAGTTTCCACGAGCCTCAAATGCTCTATCCCCGTATAATGGCTTGAAGGGACAGACGAGGAGCCCCCCAAGTCGAACAGACTGAGATGGACCTGGGACTCAGCCCTGGGATGCTGCAGGTGAGAACTGGACAAGCAGGGAGGATCGGAATAATCCAGCCCATCGCACAAAGCTCATCATGCCCCGTCTCCCTTCTGTGCCCACCATCCGTGAGGCTGCAGCTCTCTCCACCTCGTACCCCTTATGCCACAAGCGCTGCCTGTGCCAGAGCGTCTCACCTTTTCATGGCCTCTCTCTGGACCCGCTGGACATCCTGGGCTGACACTGAACCATCTTCTGCCCTGTCCACAGACAGGCCCAGCTCCCTCACCAGCCACTCCCCGTCCTCAGAGAGATGAAACCTGGGGAGCAACAGACTGAGTGACCGACGAGAGTGACCGTGACCCAGAACTCCATGGGACACCGACACTGTCCCTGTCCCCGCTCATCCTCCAGCTCCCCAAGCAGCGCTCACCTCCGGATGCCCTTGGTGACGGCGTACATCTGCTGAGCCTTCTCACGTGCCTGCTGCTGCGTCAGTCGATGGTTGAACTGCATCAGCAGGCGCTCGGCGAAGGGCTGCCCGGCCCCATAGATGCGCCCGTAGTTGAAGACTTTGGCATGCTCCCGGCTGATGCCCACCGTGGCGGCCGTCTTGCTGTGCAGGTCTGTCGCGTTGCTCTTTTTCCCCTGCAGCGTCATCCAGCCGAAAGCTGTGCAGCCTGCAGCGTGGCGAGAAGAGCTTGAACGCCATGCAGGACCTGCTTCGGCACACGGCCACACAAACCAGTGAGCCTCGTCCCCACCGCGCCGCCCTCGCTCACCGTGCATGCCAGCGAAGTGCGCCTCGCCGAGGACTGCGGCTATCCAGAGCTCCTGGGAATCCACGTCTGCGCCAACCAGCGAGTAGCCTGGCGGGACCTGGACCATGGCTTTCAGCTCGCTGCCCACACGATCGGCCTGCGGGACACGACAGCGCCATATGCTCAGTACATTCCCCTGCCCCCCTCCCACAAGAATAGCTTTTTCTCTTGCAGATGCTGCATCCCAGCCTGACTCTCTGTGCCCCTAACTTTGCTCTCAGGGACAGGACGTCAAAACTGGGGCACACATGGGGCATCCCTTGGTTACTGCCCTCTGGGCTCTTCCAGTGTGGAAGCTGCAGCCACAGACAAAAGCACAAGAGGTGTTGCTGGGGGAAAAGAGAAACCAATGCTTTTTGGTCTTCCTTCATGGAGTTTGTGTTTCTGCACAAAGCTCAGGGAGCCTCTGCTGACTCCTTCCTCGCTCCCTGGTCAAAGCACGTCACTAAGGGACAGGCCTCACAACCTGCCCTGCCTCCCCAAACCATAGCATCCAGCCCAAACCCATAGCATCCTCCCCCTGCCTCAGCTGTGGTCTCCAGCACAGGCTGCCACCCACTAGCCAGACACACAGACTCCTGCGGTCCTTGTGCCCCAAAACGCCTCTGCAAGGACCCGAACGCTGCCGTACCCGGGCGTTGCTGGCTGTCAGCCACGTGGGCTCCACGGCCCGCCGGGTGATGGTACCTGCGGTCACCACCTGCGGCAGGATGGCTCCGTAATCCTCCTCCTCGTTATAGTCCGGGTGCCTGCAGTGGAGGCGGAGAGTGAGCGCCGGCCCGGGAGAGCTCGCCCTGGGCTGCGGAGGGGTCGCGGCCACAGCTCAGGTGGTTGCTCTCCGTACCTGGTTACCACACGAGGCAGCTCCCCTTTTTTCAGCCACACCACCATCTGGGAACTGGGGAGACACGCGGTACGTGAGATGCTGCGCATGAGCACGCCGGGCAGTAATGCAGCCTTTCACCCATCCCGCTACATGGTGAAATCTAGAAAAGTCAGGTGACCCCCAAGCCCTGAGAACATACATTTACTAAAGGTGCTCCTAATTTTGAAACCTACCCTTGAGAAGGCCATCAGAAAGCAAGAGAAAGCTCCTCTGGTTGCGACCCCAGAGGGAGGCTTCCCTGCTCTGCCTTAGCAGGTCTCAAGTGGGCTCCAACGTGCCCTCCAGGTCCTCCTCCCCGACCCGGCAGGACTCTGCACCCCGATGCCTGTGCAGAGAGCTTGCTTTGCCTCTGCTGAGCCCACCGGCGCTCAGTCACGCTCGCGAGCAGTGGGATCGGCTTCCCGAGAGGGGCGTCTTGGTCCCTCCAGCCCAGCGCTCCACCACATGCTGCGCTTTGCACTGCTCTCCTCCAGGAACAGTCCATCCCGCTCGGGAATGGGGACATTGCCATTCATCTGAAGGTGGCCAATGGGTCACGGCTGCTCACCTGATTCGCTTGTGAGCGTTCCTCCAAAACGAGATCATTTTGTTAATCTCGAGGGCTCTCGTTCCGTGGGTGCGTCCGACCGCAGCCCGGAGGGTGCCGTCCTCCATCCGCGGCAAGAAATCCTTTGCGAAAGGGCTTCCAACGTTGTTGTCGTTCCCGTCCTTTAACAGCAAAGAGATGTCACGGCTCAGTGAACCATCCTTCAGTGTAAGTAAAGCCCGGGGTGCTCTCCTGCCCCAGCTCTGGAGATGCCTCTTTGCCTACCGACCCTACCCCAAGGGACAAGAGTGCCGGATGTCCCAGATGGTCCAGCACAAGGACGCAGAAGAGGAGAGACGAGAGCAGGAGCAGAGACACAGCGATGCAGAGGGAAGGCGGGGAGCTGGGACTGGGTCCGGCAGGGCGGGTTGGCAGGGCAGGGGGACACGGCCACTCCGTGCTCCCGCACGCCACGGGAGGGCTCAGCGAAGAGTCCCGGGAGCACCCCACTCGCCTTGTGCGGCAGCTTGAAGAACCAGCAGCCGGGGATGTTGACGTCGTCGTAGGGGCCGTTGCCGTGGTGGTACGAGGGCTGGCTGCTCCCCTCCTCCAGCTCACCCGCCTCCTCCTGCAACCGTGACACGGGACGACGGGGACACGGGGACCGGCAGAACTGCGGGGGCCAGCGGGGGAACAGGTCCCCGTCCCCGCGGGAAACTCCACTTACCAGCGTGACGCTTTGGTCTGCTCTGCCCGTCTTCTCCTCCACGTCCACCTCCAGGCGGCTCAGCTCCTCCACCTGGCAGCAGAGAGGGGTCGGGCAGGTGCCACCGCTGCGGCCCTGGGGACGTAACCCCAGGACTTTTCCCGCAGCCACAAGGGACGCAGGGACACGGCCCAGGCACAGTGGGGACCCGGCTACCTCGTGCACAGGGCTGTTTTGGGGGAGGTGCCCGCGTGCACGCCGGAGGGAGCCTGGCCCTTACGTCTCCCGCAGGGCAGGGGCCTTCCTCCCATCACCCTCCTCAGGAAGCAGGAGCCCCCCCGGCCCCGTCACCTTCTGCCACATGGCGCTGCTGTCCGTCAGCAGGAGCTCTTCCTCCACGGCGGCCTCGGGCCCCAGCGGCCGGGCCTTTGCCCTCTTCCC